GTAATTAAGCACAAAAAGACAGTGATTTCGTTTTATATGCAGTGAGCTATCTATTGAAGCATATTTGCATGAGCCTTAGAAGTTCTCCTTTATTGAGAACTGAGGCACACATCAGATTATACAACTAAAAGCTATTTGACTTTATCTGAGTATTCAGTTACCCTCACACTTATTGAAATTTCAATTGCCAACATTAAAAGACAACAGCAGGGTATTTTTAAGTCTGTATAAAAAGGACAGCAGCTTTTTCCTCCCTGAAATTAGAATAAGGAATGATCCAACGCCCACTGACACCTCAAGAGAAAACTCGTGCTTGCAAATCATGTAACCATCAAATGTGCCAGCAGTTATTGATGTCTGCAAATGGTGGACTATGGATAGTGACTTCTTTTGGATTTTGTCTCCTTTTATGCCCCAGACAGGGATTTCATGCCCCAGCAAGAAGTTGGTGGGGTGAGGGGAGGAGAGGAATAGGGGTAGGGAAGAGAGAGCTTTTCAGGGCCAGCTCCTGAATCCCACTACCTGGAAAAATTTGATTTCTTTCCCCACCCATCTTACAGGACTCTGAGCTTCAGTCTGAAATATACCCAAGTAAATATAAACTAAAAATGATGTGAGGAAGTGTATGCAGGGCCGGCACAACCCATTAGGGGACCTAGGCGGTTGCCTAGGGCGCTGCAATTTGGGGGGCGGCGACCGTGGCGGTATTTCCACGGCGGGACTTTCCGCCGCCCTAGGCGGCGGAAAACCTGGCGGTGCTCCTCAGTGTATGCTACATAAGTAGAAAGGTCATTAAATGTAAGGTTATAAATATTCTCTCTCTGAAAATCCCACCATTTTCCCATGCTTTTCACTACAAAGCTCCACTTCTGTTATTTATTCCTTTCTTTGTGCCTTACTTCATTTTACTTCCTATGTGTGATTGTAGGCTCCCATCTCTTCAGGACAAGAATTTAATTTTATTTCATTTCTATAAAGTTGGAGCTATGTGAATGTTAATTTTGTTCATAATAGCTCTTCTGTGGAACTATGCAAGTAACTGATTTTCCATAAAATATCAGTAGATCTTTAAAATTTAATAAACTCAGCATAACATTGGCATGGACAAAGCTACCAAATCTGCAAAATAATGTACAAAATAATCATGACTGAAAAATGTGTATCAGTGTCTACTGCATAAAAAGCTGCATTTCAGGATGATAACACTCAAGAAAGGAGCGATGGCTAAAAGAGGGCAAAACCTTCCACAGTGCACTCATTCAAAGCACTTGAGACAGATAAACAGGTACTGTCTAGACCTTCCAATTTGTTCCCAAAGCTTCAATCACTAGCGCTATTATGAGACAACTGTGTTCCTGAAAAACATTCTGGTCCTGATTCTGACTGCACTAATACCAATGTAAATCAGGAATAACTCCACTGAAATAAATTGTTACACAGATGTAAAACTGAAAGATAAAGTTAGGAGGCATGAGATCAGAATCAGGCCTGTAGCATATTAATATGAAAACGAGTACTCCAAGCATCCTAACTGGCTTCAGAATTCCAAAGTCCATAAGGATTAAAAGTTTCTAGGCCCTTTTTATACAGGTTTTGCAAATGCACTTGACAATTGTGCATAAACACAATTTAAACTTGTTTGTGGCTGAACTGGGTTCCAAGATGCCTTGATTTGTCAGTGTGCATGGAGGCATGCCGCAGAGTCATGTTTAAAAAAAAAAAAAAAAAAGAGCTCTACCTTAGGTCATCTCTACCTGGCCTCGCTCTAATGCGCTTTAGCTCCATTCATGGTGGCTAGCCAAACTACGGTAGAGCCTGCTTTCCCTACAACTGCATAAAATGGAGATGGGTTTGAGCTGATACGGATCTGAAATTTGGAGTGTTTGGATCTGGAGTTTTCAGGCCAATCTCTGTCTTAAACACTGTTGTAAATACCTGTCCAGTCATGATCTTAAGATGAAGCAAGGTATATTCAGGGCAGGTATACATCAATACCCAGAATGCTTTTCTATTCTACATTTATTGCAAAGCTCTACTTTGGGAACATACCTTTTGGGAATAGCTGGCAGATTGCACAACAGGGATTCAGTCCCTAGTGACAATGAATACCAATAATTTCTTTCACATTATTTTTAAAACATCTATCCCATGCAATAATATTTATGTACATCTCCGGGTGTACACATTTTTAAGAGTTAAAAGCTTGGCACTTGGAAGTGAAGGAGGCCAAAAAAACCATTGAACAGTCTTAAAGAATTCAAACTGGGTTAATTTTTAAATTGAAAGTTCTGAATTTTCTAACATTGAAATACAAACTTTTTAGTCTCCCTCTGTATCCCATCAAAACAATCTGAGATTCAAATATTAGATATTCACAATGCACTGCTCAGGAATAAGCTGCAGACCACAACTTATTTTCATAGTTTATTCAGCAAACAATTTTGAATAACTAGTACATTTTTGAAAAGTAATCTCTCCATAAAGAGTTGGAAAAAATGGACAGCATGAATCAGTTAAATTATTCAGTACAATGACTCTGTCCTGCTGTAATTATGCCAGTAAAGTGTCCCAAACTATGTGAAAGCAGAACAGTGGTTGAAAAAATATGCAAATAAGCAATTCAGAAAAATTATTTTTATAACCATCAAACACTCACTGCACAAGGCCACATCCTTCTAAAATTCTGTGAATTTATAAAGTATTACAGTGAGCTTGCAAGTTAATGTTACAAAATTCAGATACTTGAGGTGATTAAGTCAATGGCACTACTGATAATTTGTGAAAATGTATTCCATCTTGCTCAAGATGCCAGTGGTCAAATGGAATTATAGCAAATTTGTTACAAAGTTTTAATTTCTTCTGTGTTTTTCTGTTGCTGCTGTGGGCTGTTGAGTCATGTTTTTAATTAAGATTTTATGCAAAGCTGTCACTGACGTGCTCAGGTAAGTGCCATCAACATCCCCTAGCTGTCAGTTTCAGTTTTAAAAAATAAAACTCCCAGTGGCTATTGCAGCTTCTGTTGGGTGTTGCACTACTGTGGTTGTGTGGGTTTTGCTTTACCTCTTAGACCTAACTGGCTCTGCATAAAAATATGCCACTAGGGTGTTCTGAATCTAGCTCTGACTGCTGTAATTGGGCCAGTGAGGAACAATGAACATAAAGAGGTTTTTGGATCACATAGCTAGCCTAAAGTACTATAACAGCTACTTATGTTTCTGACATCAACATCTTAATACAAAGCTTACCCACATCTGTGCGCAGTCAGACACGGTACTGAAGCATTGCTTTCAACCTTCGTTCTTTGTGTTTGTTCATTTGTTTAATCTTTGATGTCAGAAAATAGAACACTGAGAGAGGAGTGGCAGTGACACTCTTGGAACAGGAACAAAAATGTAAAATTGTAAAAATACAGAACAAAGCTTCACCACTGGCGCAAGGAGTTTGTTGTAGGGAGAGACCAGTGTACTTGATTAATTTTCAGTTTGTCAGCATGAGGCATTGTAGCTGCATATGTTGTACTGTAAGCAAGAACCTATTGGTCAGTGCACTAAAGATGCTTTAGTAGTAATATTTTACGAGTACAGTGCTTTCTGCCCCAAAGGATCTTTCCAACCACAAAGCACACTTTAGATTTACACATATAGCTCCACTAGGATGGTGGGAATCAGTCAAGCAGTACTGTACAACACTGGAGTGAGGAGGGCCTGAGCATTGTTTTGCCAAGGACTTTTTTTTTTTTTTCTTGCGAAGAACACAACACAACCCCCCTACTCTTGTGAAAGGGTTGATGATACGGTCTCTTCTGTCCAAACAGAGCTGACAGAACCTGTATGTGCAATACAGATGTGTGAGCATACAGATGTATGTGCAATACCTCAAAAAAAACTCCACAAACATTTTCTCAAATAAAAAAATTTAATAAATTTTGGCTATGTTTGTGTTTGCTTTCTGTGAATACTATAACAAAGAGTTTTATTGGCAGGAACGTTCATGGAAGCAGCAAATTTAGAACAGATATAAAATATTTGCGAAATGCAAATTTTGAACTCAGATGTATGTGCACACCAAAAACCTGATTCTAAAAAGTTGTGCTCATCAATCTGAGGAGGCAGAAACATGCTGTGATATATGTACAGGGCCAACACCAACTCAGCAAGCAGGTGCTTGGGGCGGCCAACGGAGGGGGGCGGCACGTCCGGCTCTTTGGCGGCAATTCGGCAGCAGGTCCCTCTCGGAGCGAAGGACCTGCTGCTGAATTGCCGCCAAAGAATGAAGCGGCAGTGGTAGAGCTGCTGCCGAAGTGCCGCAGATCACTATCGTGGCTTTTTTTTTTTTTTTGCTGCTTGGGGCGGCAAAAACCCTGAAGCCGGCCCTGTCTATGTATCCTGTCAAAACTAACCAATGCAATTAGTTTTGAATATCAAATGCTCTCAATAAACTGATCACAAATCATCTATGGACCAAGAATTTTTCATTTTTTGGGGGGTGAATAATACCTACTAATGAATAAGAGCAGCCATACTGAGTCAGACCAAGGGTTCATCTAGCCCAGTATCCTATCTTCCATCAGTGGCCAATGCCAGGTGCCCCAGAGGGAATGAACAGAACATGTCATTATCAAGTGATCCATCCCCTGTCGCCCATTCCCATGTGTCTTATTGATATGTGTCGTCTTGACAATTAACAAAAAGAAAAACTCATTGAATAATGTAGTCACTACAAATTTTTTGCTCAGCTTTAGATTTTACATTCACATCCCAAAGACCCAAGAGTGCTGATCCAAATAATGTTGAATGTATCTACCTTAGAGGGATGAAGGATTCATTTGACTATGGTGGATTTTGATATACAAAGAACACATTTTCTTTTATTTAGGGCCCAATCCTGACTTAAATAAGTAGTCCTTATTCATCTGAGTAGTATTGTTGAGTTAAAAGTGACCGCTAATAATACTACAATAATTAATTAATACCTACTTTGTAAATGTTGGCAGGATCTGGCCCTCAATTTGTTTTTGCCGGGCAAAATCTAAACCATTCTAAACTCTTTGTTTTGCCTAAGGAAATCTTTAGTAAAAGGCGAAAGATTTATACGATCTGAAGAGAAACCAGAGTATATACTACACGATATGAACCGTAGCATCTCAACTTTGTCTTGCCCTTGTAATACTGAGAACAAAGTAATGAGGATGGAATTTCAGCCTTTGAATTTCTTTGTTTTCCCTCATTTAAAAATTAATTAAGCATGGTGATAGTTTGTATTTAATGTCAGTGGTGTTTTAACTTTTATATTAGTGTCAAATGAAAATGCCCTTATCTGTATTTTAAATGTGGGTTATTGACCAAACTGTGTAAATATGCGTTAAGGGAGTTTTTTAATTACTGGTTATTCATGCATAGTCATGACTGGATAAACCTGGTTAGTACCATGATCATTATGAATCATGATATTACTTTAAAAATATGTTATGAAACATGCAACTGTGCATATATGGCAGAGAATCGTCAAAGATTATTACAAGTGTTGAAATTTTAACTTACAGAAATACCTAATATACCTAAAGTACTAGCCTGTATAAAAGAAATGATTTCTGAGAACGATAGTTTAGGTGCGCAAAAATGCCATGAGCATCAGTAAATCTGCATTTCGTTGTGCTCTTGGTACATTGCCATATATTCAACTTGTACATCAAAGTTTCAGCCTATAGATTTTTACAGTCTCCTGGAAGTTCTGCAGTTGTTTAAAATGGTATGTGAGCTGTAGCAGCAGTTATGGTACAGTTGTAATAGCATAATGCATACTGCTGGTGGGAAATCATATGGAGACACTGTGAGAAGGTATGTTGATAACCTACACCATGGATTTACAGTATGAGGTGCTTAAAGTAGATAAAGTACTAGCTACAGAAAACATGAATCCTCATTCTATAAAAAAAGTGTCCAAGGAGATGCAAACCTTTTAAGTTATATTTTAAATAATGCTGCATTTGTAAGAGATTCTTCATGACTGGATAACTGCAAGTATAATTTCATTATTGGAAAAGAGTCAAGTGTATAATCTTGGGGAAAATCTTAGAAACTTTTCATTTAAAAATTTCAAACTTTTCTGTAAAAAGGAAAAGAGAAAATTTACACATGGTATATTAGATATGGTGCTGGAGTAGGACTCAGAAAACTTTGGTTTCATTCTATTTTCTGCCACTGACCCACTGGATGACCTTGGGCAAAACACATCACCTTCCCATACCTCAGTTTCCCTTCCCATTTTCTCTGTCTGTTTAGGTTGTAAACTCTTCAGGGCAGGATCCATCTCTGTGTGTACAGTGCCTCACATCATCTGGCTCTGATCTTCGTTGGGGCCTCTAGGTCCTACCATAATAATATTTCCAGTACGGTAATCAGATTTATAATCCAAGTAACAGAAGTATCTAGCATGTAATAAAATACATTACACAACTATAGTTCCTGATGATAAGGTCAGAGAGTTCAATGAGTTCATTGTATTCTTCAGTAGTAACCTCTGTAATATTGTCCTCTTTTCTTAAGCTGTTGCGTGTTTTGTTGCTATTTTGCCAAGAGCAAACACAAAAATTGTTTGATTAGACAGTCAGGAATTTTTGTATTATAATTTATGAAGGGAGTCTGCATTAAAAAAATGAGCATGTTGTTCTGCACAATGGCAGAGTTTTTATAAGTGGTGTTTTTTCTTGTAAAAGTTTTCAGCGACTGTATATATACACACACACACACAATTTTTTGCTTTCCTTAAACATCTACTATTTTTCACATGAGAATGGTATATAGGAATGGCATCTTAGAAAGATTACCTTTTTATTTTTTGTCAAATAGAGCAGACAAAGTTCCAAGAATAAAATGATTGGAATTAAAATAATTTTGTTTTATACCAGTGATTTTTTTACTCAGTGTTCCTTGACAATTTACTTCCTGGTTAAATAAAAAATGTTGGTCACTATCTATAAAGCTGTAAATGGTCTGGGCCCCAGATATCTCAGAATTCACCTTATGCATCACTATGACAAATGAAATTACTGATTCTGATTTACTAATGTGTTATTCATTGAGTCATCTCTGTCTTGTTTTCTCCAAGAAAATATACCCAACTCCTTAATCTTCCATTATAACTTAGGTGCTTGAGATGGTGTCTCTTTTACACTATGCAGCAGCCTCCAACAGGAATAATCTCCTTATATAGTATGATTAGCAGTAGTGCACTCAGTGGGCCTGATTTACCACTCTGATACTCCAGTTTTACCCTGCACTTTACACAACTAACATAAGTAATATGAAATGATTTAAGTAATACTTCGAAAAGGTTTTTCTGGGAGAAGTATAGTGCAGTAAAGAGACTGGAAGGGGCAGATGCTGTGCGGAATGTTTCAAATCTGTATTTGCCTTGTTAAATTTTAAAATCTGAGACACGGGTTGTTTTCATTTTGAATAAATTTTGGAAGCCTAATGTAGTGTTTTTGTGTAAGGAAATATGCTTCATTGTTTTTGTTTGTTTGTTTGTTTGTTTGTTTCCAGGCAAGAGCAGGCCAGTGTTCTGTATGCGAACATCAGCTTAGTGGAACCAAGATTAATTCAGCCTTATGAACATGTTATTAAGAACTTCATCCAAGAGATCAAACTTCAAAGCATAGAGATGGAAAGCTTGGCCATATCTGTAAAAAGGTACAGGGGATAGTTCTGAATGTCAAACGTGTGCAGTTATGCAGTTGTGAACTTCACCACTTATGCCTGTAGTACAGTGTTGGTTAAAGTTACCTGGTATTAATGGCAAAACATGTTGAACAGAATATTTTCATTTTTAGGCTATTAAACTGACAAGTTGAAAGAATCACAGGGTTTTGGGGTTTTTTATACAAACCAGATAATTTGCAAATTGCAAATGATTCTGTATGTAATTACTTACACTTTGGATAAATTCTGGGACCAGTCTTGGATCCAAAGGCAGGCTAAGATCCCAGATTTTAATAACTAAAAAAAATTTGGTGTTTCTTTTTTTGGTTGTAACTGTAACTTTGAATAGACATGACTGTCATTTGCTTTTACAAATATTATTTTTGTATCTCCAGCTTCAAAGAGAGTATTTAGGTAGTATGTTTGGGTACTGTACAGGCAGTCCTCGACTTTATGACATTCGATTTAGGATGAACAACACTTACGTTTCTGAATTGACACCCTGATTCGACTTACGACAATTGGTTTTGACGTTACGACACTCGGTCCCGCAATGGAGCGGATTGCGGTTCAGAGTTATGATGTTTTGACTTACGATACACTTTTCAGGAACCAATTGTTTCGTAAGTCCGAGGACTGCCTGTATCTTAATGTTTGTAACTATATCGTATTGGCATATTTTTATACTACATATTAAAATTCCTGTATGTCAGGGAAGCTAAAAATGATTCTGTTCTAAAAAGTGACTGTGCAAATGTTATCATGATGTTCCCAGTTCATTGTGTCTCAGTGAATCCAGACTAAATTTGCTCAGTTTACAAGTCAGAAACTTTTAATTTCCAGTCCTGCAAACTCAGCCTTGGCTTTGAGAGTCAAGCTGATTTTTTTCCTTCTTGTACATCATCTCCAGTAATCTCATAGAAACTTAGGACTGGAAGGGACCTTGAGAGATCATCTAGTCCACTTCCCTGCACTCATGGCAGGGCTAAATATTATCTAGCCCATACCTGACAGGCGTTTCTCTAACCTGCTCTTAAAAATCTCCAGGGATGGGGATTCTAAAACCTCCCTGGGCAATTTATTCCAGTCAGAGCCGTCTCTTGGTAGGGCGAATCAGGGTGACCGCTCTGGGCCCCACACTTTGGGGGGCCCTGCAGGCCAGTGCTATTGGCTGACGCTGTCAGTCCCGGAAGACATAGGCATGGGAACTAGTAGTGGGTGCTGCACACCCCTGGCTGCTGCCCCCACCCCACGCCTGGGGTTCTCCCCCCACACCCGGAGTCCCGGCTGCCCAGCTGCCGATGCAGAGCGGGGCCCCCAAGCCGATAGGGGCTGCTTTGTTCCAGGCCCCGCACCCCCTAGGGATGGCCCGATTCCAATGCTTATGTAACATCGACAGACCCCGGTCATCAGCAGGCAGGATCGAACCTGGGACATCTGAAGTTTAGTGCATGAGCCTCTACTGCATGAGCTAAAAGCCACATGGCTGTTAGCTAAGGCTGTAGCAAATTCATTAATCTCTAAGTGGTCTTGGTGCCACTACATGGGATAGAACACTACACCCAGGAGGTGTGTGGGTTACAATTATCCACCCTGACAGGAATTTTTCCTAATGTCCAACTTAAACCACCCTTGCTGCAATTTAAGCCCCTTGCTTCTTGTCCTAGCCTCAAAGGTTAAGGAGAACAATTTTTCTCCCTCTTCCTTGTAACAATCTTTTATGTACTTGGAAAACTGTGATCATGTTCCTTCTCAGTCGTCTCTTCTCCAGACTAAAACAAACCCATTTTTTTCAATCTTCCCTCATACGTTATGTTTTCTAGACCTTTAATCATTTTTGTTGCTCTTCTCTGGACTTGCTCCGGTAAAGGCTCCAATAAAGGTGCTACATCAAGTTTACATATCAGTCCAAATGTGTGTATGAATGGTGATCATCTTCAAATGACTTCCTTGGCTAGGTAATCTCAGATTGTCAGTGGGATGGCACAGCAGTAAATGAAGGCAGAATTTTGTCCCGCCACTGAACCTTAAACTTTAAATTAAATTTATGTATTTTGGACAATGTGTGAGAAGGAATTGAATAAGCCATATCAGGACTGGAATGATAATAGTAGTTAAACAAGTAAAAATATAGCTTTTCCAGTAAAGTAAGTCAATATGACTAAATGTATATAGGGCCTAGATCTATTGAGAAGATGGTGTATTTCTTACATAGTCATTTTTCAGAGGAGAATTTCACTTTAAAGGTTTATTTTAAAGGGAAAAATATGAAACCAACTTTCTCTAAACAGAGCATAAACATCATAGCCTTTTGTCAGTACTGCAGTATCTATCTTTCAGCCACTAATAAAACTGTGACATAATTGCCTCTCATGCTTGGCCCATGTTTCAACATTTGCATGTGTATGTTTGAACT